GGCTTAACTTGGATCCTTAAAATGGCTTTCCATCATTCTTTTTGGTTTCCCAGGACTGGTACTGCTACTTCTTGGAAGAAGGGGCAGGATTTTTGCGGCCCTATTTCATCCCATGACCCAGTACTCCCTTTCCCTGAGTATATCATTCTTCCCCATTTTCCTCACCTGCCCCTTCAGGTCTTGTCTTCGAAAGGCCAGTGACATCTCAGTTTTAGTGACATCCAGGGTTCGTTCTGTAGTACTTCAAGGTAAGTGCCTTGAGTCACCTGGCTCTATTCCTTGCCTTTTTCCTTTACCCACCTGGATAGGTTCTGTTAAGGGAGAAGATCCATAGGCTTGTCCCCGTCTAGTACTCTCACCCTTTCTTCTCTTACTAGGAACTACCCATGAGCTCTAGATCTCATCCTTCAGAGTTATCTCTACATTCCTCTTAAAGCTTGTCCCTAACATGAAGGTGTTCTTAGCCTCTTTCTGCCTTTGTTTCTATCAGTGGAGGGTATTTGAGGTTGGGGTGAGAAGGTCACTGTGGAAGCTGGTTTGAGAATTGTGATTCTGTTTCCTACATGTGAAACTGGATACTTCTATCCAGGAGGAATCTGGGAAGTGAATCATTCAAGCTCTTTGTTTTCTCTTCACTTTTGTGTGCCCTCTCAATCCTGCCTACCCCAAACTCTCTCCCTATGCCCCTCAATTATCCTTGCCTTTTCCTCTTCTCATTCTCTCCTGCCTGTTTCTTGGACCCCTTTTCTTTGTCCCTTCTTCCTCTTTATCACCCAGAGCGCAGTGATCGTGATCTCAATGGCCTCCTCTCTTCACTCGTCCAGCTGCTTTCAGCCCCTGAAGCCCGAACACTGTTTGGCTTCCAGTCACTAGTGCAGCGAGAGTGGGTGGCAGCAGGACACCCCTTCCTGACTCGGCTTAGGGGAACTGGGGCTACTGAAGAGGTGAGAACAATCTGGGTTGGTTTGGGGGTATTACTAAAGAAGTAAGGAAATGAGAAAATTGCATAGTATAAATTCACTGGAGGGGAATTAGGTCAGATAGGTCCTGAGATTAGGCTGATTTTGAAGACCCACAAGTAAGGCCCCACTAAAGTAACACTTAGTCTTGATGTATTTTATGAGAAGTGAGGTTTGAGGGTATGGAAGGGGAAGTTGATGCACACTTTCAGGACACTGGATTCAGGTTTTCATTCTCTGACCCCTTTAGCATTTGTTGTCTATATCCCCCATCCCTTGTCATTGTGTCATCCTCCCTCTTTAGGTCCACACAATCGTACCAACCTCTTAATCTCTCTCTTCTCAGGCCCCAGTATTTCTCCTCTTCCTTGATTGTGTCTGGCAGCTCCTCCAGCAGTTTCCAGCTGAGTTTGAATTCTCTGAGTTTTTTCTTCTTGCCCTTCATGATAGCGTCAGGGTTCCGGACACTCTTACATTCCTGAGAAATACCCCTTGGGAACGTGGAAAGCAGAGTGGACAGGTCAGTGATGTCTAATTTTTTTTCCTTTTTCCTTTTCTATTGAGACGTACTCTCTAAAGTTTAGTTTTTATTTATTTTATGAGAAGTGAGTTCAGAGGGAAAAGTCGATAATCAGTCTCAGGACTTAGAGTTTTGGTCTACATTTGATGCTTGAAGTATGAGGTGAGAGTTTCATGATTTGTCTCTAGATTTGGGATACAGACACACACACACACAAACACAAACATTAATCACCATTTTTCTTTGCTTTCTTTGTGCAGTTCAATTCTTTTACTCAAGTTTACACTCCAGAATACTCCCAGCCCCCAAATGGGAACTCTGTTAATGGGCAGCTGTCTGTCTGGGACTGGAATTTACGCTACAGCAATGAACAAATATTACAATTTCATAATCCTGGCTATGACCTGGAGCACTGCCCAGATTCCTGGTTCCCTCGACAGCAGGTGAGATGCCTAGATTTTCTGAGATCCCTTGACTTTCCCTCAGGTTCGTGCTACTAGATGAGAAGTTGAAAGACACAATGTCTGAGTTCCTCAGGGAAAACTACCCATTCTTCTTCTGCAGCTGACACCATTCCTGTCTCCAGGAAGACATTAGTCTTAGAATGGCAGAGGTCATCCTTCTTGTCTTTATTTCCACATACTAGTCTTCCTGTCTCATGTCCATATTTTATAAAGTTCTCTAAAATCAACTCTATTCAGCCCTAAGGCTTATTTGAAACTTAAAAACAGATGAATTCTGAGGAAGAAGCTTAAGTTTTAGTTACCAGTGCAATAAATAAGCAGTAACTAGATATCCTTTCCTGATCCAGTCTGGAGAAATTAGGGTTGTCTACCATCTCAGTTACTAGTTGATTTCCCTTTCCTTTTTAGTCGAACTTCATGGTTCCTGGCCTCCCCAGTTCTGTGTGGCTCTTCTCTAGAGGGGCTCTGACACCCCTGAATCAGCTCTGTCCTTGGCGAGATACTCCCTCCTTACTGGCAGTCTCTTCTCGTTGGCTCCCTCGACCTGCTATCTCCTCTGAAAGCCTGGCTGACCAGGAGTGGGGGCTCCCCTCACATTGGGGAGCTTGCCCTTTACCTCCAGGGCTATTGCTGCCTGGATGTCTGGGACCCCAGATCAGGCTCTGGAGACGCTGCTACCTAAGGGGAAGGCCTGAGGTCCAGGTGAGAAGGGAAGATGGATTGGGAGTGGAGAAGGGGCTTCTCTGATGAACCAGATAAACAAAGCCGAGAAGACAAGGGGCTAGGGGCATTGGGAAGTAAAAGTACCAGCCCTGCTGGTAACAAACTGTATGTAGATTTGGAAGTGTAAAGGGGTGGGGGAAACTGCTTGTGGCTTAGATTAAGAATAATTAGGGCATAGATGGAAGGGAAGGGCATTAAAGACACCAGAAGTAGTGGACAGATCTGAGAAGCAGAAAGCTAGAACTGTAATAATATTCCTTTCTGCCTTTTTTTGCCCCCTCCCCAGCTGGGCCTCTTAGCTCCCACAATCTCTGGTCTCCAGAGTGAGCTATCCCGTCTTCAGGAGCTATTAAGAAAATGGACACCAAGAATATCTCCTGAGGATCACTCCAAGAAAAGAGATCCAAACACCATTCTCTCTCAATCCCATTGAAATTGCTAGCATTCTTAAAGGCAAGGCAGAGAGGGATCTGAAAGAAGGAGGGCTCTAATCCTTCAGTTTTTCACAATTGTCCTTGTTGCCTCAATCTTCACATTCCAGCCCTTAAACAAGCTCACTTAATGGACTTGAGTTTTTGTCCATGCTGATCTCCAGCTCTTTCTCCTTTCCGTTCCTTCCTGGTATTTTTGTTTGTGTGACTTGACGAATTAAGAAACAAAACAATCCAAAATGTGATTGTCTCTTTTTTTTGGAGGGCAATTCCATGCCTTTTGGATAACTATTAAATCTTAAGATCAGAGATGCTGTTCATCAGTCCCAAAAAGATGGCCTAGAGACCTCATTCTCACCCCCTCTTGCTGATGCTTTAATTCCAGTTTCTATGGAATGTCTTAAGAAATTTCTACTTCTTTCCTTATAATTTTTTGGGAGAATGTATATTTTTGTAGTGGCATTTCTATTTAAGGAGTTCATTAAAGTACAGAATTTCTACAGATTGCTAGCATTGCGTCTTGTGTTTGAATAAAAAATCCTAGGTAGCAGAGCACTGTGTGGAAGGGGGAGTGACCTAAAATAAGAGAGCACCCACCATATTATTGCCAAAGAAATAGGGATCTGGGTGGGCTGGGTTGTAGCTCAATGGTAGAGCTTGCACTGCACTTGTGAGGCACTGGGTTCGATCGTCAGCACCAATATAAATAAATAATAAAGGTCCACTGACAACTAAAAAAATATGAAAAGCAATAGGGCTAGGTGAGCCTCCACAGGATTCACAGACGGTTTGGGAAAATGGTTCTCCTTTTGTTTCTAGAGGGTGGGACGCGAGCACAGTAAGCGGGGGTGGCGGGGGCGGGGGTGGAGGTTGGCACTTGAGCCTCTTCAATCCCAGTCACCCCTCGACTTTGTTACACCCCACCTCGGGGCCTGACTCCCCCGCCTCCCTGCGCAAGATCGGGAGGCGAGCTCAGACCTCCCCCAATTCCCTCCCCGCAGGGCAAACGAAATACTTGGAGCCCGGTCAGGGCTGAGGCCAGCTTAGGCCGTGGGATGGGGTTTTCGCGGCACACCGTATCGCTCGGCTACAGAATATATGAAAGACAGTTTCGCTACTTCAGCTTTTGACTTTGGAGAGCAGTGGCACTCCCTGACGTCCCAGCACTGCCTTAAGAGGGTCTGAGAGTTTCCACTCGGCCTCCGGCACCAAGCCCCGACGCCTCACTACGCCCGGGAACCGCCACGGCGCTGCGTTTCAGCGACTCCTAAGATGGCCGCGGCCGCTTCCGGCCCCGCCCCGCCAAGTCCCACCCACCGCTCGTGTCTGTTCCGGAAGTGGAAATAGCAACGAGGTCAGAGGGCGGAGCTGGTGCTTAGAGACGGCGGGAGCTCTTTCGCCATGGCTGCGGGGCCGATATCCGAACGGAACCAGGGTAACTGGACAGGACGAGCCTGGGATGGGCCTCACGGGACCAAGAGGCCCCAGATTAGGAGCAGTAGCTTCTGCCAGGCCGGGAGGCTAGACCTTCCCCGGAGGCTGCGAGACCAGCCGCCCTGGTGTTGGAGGCGGGGTGGCCAAATTCAGGCCGAGGCCTGCGGCAGGAGTGGTTCAGTCCCCCTCCAGGTCCAGTGCCCTCTCCCTTCCCACTCAGAAATAAAGAAAATAGCGGGGCTCGGCGGCACACGTCTGTGATCCCAGCGGCTCGCGAGGCCGAGGCAGAAGTAGCCCAAGTTCGGGGCCAGTTTCACTAAGACCCTGTCTCCAAAAAACTGAAATAAAATCTGCCGAGAAAGACAAAATCTAAAGCAGTAAACTGAGTTAAATTTTACAAGATTCTCTAGGTTCTAGGAAGAGAGAGACTTAGGACTTAAACTAACTTTGTTTTCTTTTTTTACACCCCATCCCACTCCCTGTCCTGCCGAGATTCCATCTTTGCGTTCTTGTCACCTTTCTCCTGTTGTACTCGCACCCCTTCCCTAACCTCTCGCTCCCTCCTTCTAGATGCCACTGTGTACGTGGGGGGCCTAGATGAGAAGGTTAGTGAACCACTGCTCTGGGAACTCTTTCTCCAGGCAGGGCCCGTGGTCAACACCCACATGCCAAAGGATAGAGTCACTGGCCAGCACCAAGGTAAGTACGTGGCAAGAAGTGAATTTATGTAATAAGGGGACAAATGCAAGAGTTGAGCTTATGTATTGGGGGCATGAATGCTCTTGAAGCGTCCTAATTATTCTTTGAATTATTCTTTGGAATGAGCATCCTAAAAAGAATTCTTTCCCTTAAGCTTCAGTTCACAGTTCCTGGAAGCATTATCAGTTAAAGTGAGGTTATTATGAGTTATACCTTTTTTGAGTCTCTTCCCTTGAGTTGTTAACCTTCCCTTCTTCACTTCCCCAGGTTATGGCTTTGTTGAATTCTTGAGTGAGGAAGATGCTGACTATGCCATTAAGATCATGAACATGATCAAACTCTATGGAAAGCCAATACGTGTAAACAAGGCATCTGCTCACAACAAAAACCTGGATGTAGGGGCCAACATTTTCATTGGGAACCTGGACCCAGAGATTGATGAGAAGCTGCTTTATGATACTTTTAGCGCCTTTGGGGTCATCTTACAAACACCTAAAATTATGCGGGACCCTGATACAGGCAATTCCAAAGGTTATGCCTTTATTAATTTTGCTTCGTTTGATGCTTCGGATGCAGCAATTGAGGCCATGAATGGGCAGTACCTCTGTAACCGCCCTATCACTGTATCTTATGCGTTCAAGAAGGACTCTAAGGGCGAGCGTCATGGCTCAGCAGCTGAACGACTTCTAGCAGCCCAGAACCCTCTCTCCCAGGCTGACCGTCCTCATCAGCTGTTCGCAGATGCGCCCCCTCCACCTTCCGCCCCCAACCCTGTGGTGTCATCACTGGGATCTGGGCTTCCTCCACCAGGTAAAGGTTATGTTTGTCTTGAGTCTAGTGGGGGAGGGGCAGGAAAAAGAAAAAGGAACATGAAGGAGCTGGATGTTGTTGGTAGGTGATGAGAAGGAAATGGGGAGTGAAGATAGTGGGTTTCTTTAGCAGATTGAGGTTGGTTTGAGTTTTTTTTTTAACATTGCTTTTGACTTTGAAGCATGGTTGGAGAGTAAGGAACTTACCCTGTCTGAAGAGGCCAGATTGGGACAGGCTCTTTAAAGACATTCTCTTTTCACCTCCATTAACTCTTACTTTCATTTCCTGGGTAGGCATGCCTCCTCCTGGCTCCTTCCCACCTCCGGTGCCGCCTCCTGGAGCCCTCCCACCTGGGATACCTCCTGCCATGCCCCCACCACCTATGCCGCCTGGGGCTGGAGGACATGGCCCTCCATCAGCAGGAACCCCAGGGGCTGGACATCCTGGTCATGGACATTCTCATCCTCACCCGTTCCCACCAGGTGGGATGCCCCATCCAGGTAAGTGTTCTTTGGTGAGAGAGGGAATGATGAGTTTGATAGAGGCCCTTTATCACCTCTCATCCTTCTGTTCTTTGTTTTTCAACAACAACAACAATACCAGAGTTCTCCTTCCCTTCAGACTACTAAAAAAACCACAAAGTATAAGTTTTTCTGAAGAATAATTTATAGGTGGTGTTTTTGTTTCCTTATTTTTTGCTTTCATTCTCTGACAGCTTTCCAGAGTAGAGATCCAGTTGCCAACTCTAGGAGATATTTCTGCTCCTTAACCTGTTTTAATCTCTTCTGTGCTTCAAACTAGCCATGTCTTCTAGTTTAGAATTCTCGTCTCTTTTCGCTTTTATTTTTCTGGATTCTCCACCTTTTTCTCTAACTTGTCAGTCTCAGCCACCCTTGTTTTATAAGCTCCTTTCTGCTTGTCACTAGCTTTTTGTGCTTTGTTCTCTTTTCTATGTGTATTCATTGTTTTAATTAAGTAGGTACTGATTTCTTGGGTCTCTTTTTCTAGTTCATGGTTATTAATAAGCCAGACCCATAATTCTGCTCAAAAGACAGCTGCCCCCTTCAAACCTATTCTTCCTCTAATTGTCTTTGTCTTCATGTGCTTATTCATAAATTGGGGAGTTTGACTACTCCTTGTTACTCCATTCTTCTACTAAATCTGCCCCACTGCCAGTGTCAGTTCAGGTGCGCGTGCGCGCGCGTGTCTCTCTCAAGAATTTATTCTTTATTTTTTATTTATTTGTTTTTATGTGGTGCTGCAGGTTAAACCCAGTGCCTCACCCGTGCTAGGCAGTGCTCTACCACTGAGCTATAATCCCAGCTCGGGTTCAGGCTCTTATTTTCTCATTATTTCACACTTCATTTATTGTAGTAATCTTCTTCAGTTTGACTTCAGTTTTTTTATATTTGATCTACATTCATGAAGTAACTTTTTTCTAAAACATGTTTATACTCACTTGCTTAGAATTTGCCTTTTTACCTACAGAATAAACCCCAAATTCATTACCATTGCATTCAGGGCCTTTTCATGGTCTGGTCTCCAACCATCACTCATGTAACTGCATGTTGCTCCTGATTACTCAGCTGTTGGTAGTTTCTGGAACATGCTATGCTGTTTGACATGTTATTTGCATGCGCTGATCTTTCTGCTTGGGGTGGTCTATCTCTGTACTCTTGTCCTTGAATTTTTCTTCATCCTATAGAATCTGGATCTTAGCAGAGGTAGTGTTTCTGCTGCCTTCCCACACCCTATCAGGGAGTGATCTTACAGGCTTTTGCATCACTGATAGAATGCCTGAATCCCAGTGAGGCGGGTGAGAAGTGATGCCGGAGCAGTTGGTTTGTACTGTTAGAGTGGAATCAAGGATAGGGGCACTTTTTATAAGCCTTTCTTTATGTCACTTTTGTTTTTGCTCTTCCTTTCTTCATTTTCTTTGACTTTTGTTATCTTCCTATTGTCTCCTTTTTCCTTGTGTCTTGTCTTATTTTCATAGGAATGTCTCAGATGCAGCTGGCCCACCATGGCCCTCATGGCTTAGGACACCCACATGCTGGACCTCCAGGCTCTGGGGGGCAGCCACCACCCCGACCACCACCTGGAATGCCTCATCCTGGACCTCCTCCAATGGGCATGCCTCCCCGAGGACCTCCCTTTGGCTCTCCCATGGGTGAGTGGGCTTTGTACACCTCTTTCATCCTCGCAGATGTTGTAGCCTTTGTCACACCACTTGTCCCATGCCTTTTCTTTTACTTTTTATATTTAACTAACTCTTCTTTCTCTTCTTGCAGGTCACCCAGGTCCTATGCCTCCACATGGTATGCGTGGGCCTCCTCCACTAATGCCACCTCATGGATATACTGGTCCTCCACGACCCCCACCCTATGGCTACCAACGGGGGCCCCTCCCCCCACCCAGACCCACGCCCCGGCCTCCAGTTCCCCCTCGTGGCCCACTTCGAGGCCCTCTCCCTCAGTAAATTCTCATTCTTCTTCCTTCTGTTCTATCCTTCTGATATCTTTTCGATTCCTTGGACCAATCAGAGTTGCTATAGCTCTTTGGGGCTAGGGCGCTAATCCCTCTCAGTCCCCCACCAATGCAATTTTTTTTAAAGGAGGTTTTTCTTTTTCGTTTTTCTTTTTTACGTTGGTCCAGTGTTTTGCAGATATCCAGAGAAAATAAAACTTTGATCCTTGTTTATTCTTTGTGGGTTTTCCTTGGTGAAGTAACTTTTCTCTTAAGAAATGGTGTATTGTGAGGAGCGGTAAGGTAAAAGTAAGGGTATTTACATTTTGAAGGCTTATTTTGTATTGTGCTGTTTCAGTAGCTGGACTCTGCTATGCACTGTAGCAGTTGTCCTTATATAGAACTTTGGTTTATAACATGGGACATTAAAATGGGAAGCGAAGTAAAGTGCCTGGAGCTATGCTGGCAAAAATAGGAAGTAACATGCACAGAGCTATTCATTATAGCTAACAACTCACATGTCCATTAGTAAGGGACTAGTTGCATAAACTGGTAAGTGCACAATAGAGTACTGTGCAGCTGTGAAAAGGAATGAGGAAGGGGCTGGCAGTATATAGCTGACTGATAGGAATATGTGCTTAGCATTCATGAGGTGTTGAGTTCAATCCCTGCCACCAAAAAAAAAAAAAAAAAAATTTATATGTCTCCTGGAGAGATCTCTGGGTTATATTAAATAAAGAAAATACATATGCTGAGCTACCTTATATAAGGGGCAGTACATATATGTATTTGTTTATATTTTAAAAAAAGGAGAGAAAAAAAATCCCTAGGGAAAGGGAGAGGATATGGAAGGAAACTTGATTTCTCTGAATATACTGTTACTGTGGCTTTCATTTGGAACCATATAAATGTCTTTCATAATTGTAAACGTTAAAATTAGCAATTTGGGTCAAAATAAATGTTTACTTTTCCTGTTCTTTACTCTCAGACATCTTGTATCTTATTTATTTTGGGGGGGAAGAGGTTAAATAAGAGCAATTTATTTCTCCTCTTATTCCTATTTTTGTTCTTATTTTTAGTCCTTCCAAACCCAATTTCCATCATATTTAAATTTGCTCAAAGACTTCAGCAATGAGATCAAACCCAAAGGTCATTTACTTCCCTGTTCTTTACCACATGCAATCCTGTTATCACCCTCTTCTTGAAGCTCCCTGTGGTTTATGTAACTATGAACTTTCCTAAACTCTAGGCGGAAAAGGTGAGCCTGACTCCTGTTCTGCATCATTCTTATTCATTTAACATGGTATCTACAAAGGCTCTATGCTGATGGCAGCTGGAGATGGGTACAATACTTCTAAGAGTACAATATATATATTTTTTTTTTTAAAGAGAGAAATTCAATATTTTTTAGTTTTCGGCGGACACAACATCTTTGTATGTGGTGCAGAGGATTGAACCCGGGCTGCACACATGCCAGGCGAGCGCTATACCACTTGAGCCACATCCCCAGCCCCTTACAATATTTCTATTTTAGCAAGTAATGTATCAGGGCAGAGTATACAAATCCACCTTTAAAGAGAAGAAATGGCTTCCTGCCAGCAGAACGTAGCTATAACCTAATTGGAAATATTAATATATTTAAATAACGAATGTATCTACCTGAAGAAGGATCTGCAATGGAAGCTTAGTAAAAGGAGAGTCCCTGAAGCCCACATGGGCAGAGCCGTTCCAAGTACTATCCTGGAAAAACTGCTTCAGCCATCAGATTTCCAGTCATCTAGGAGCACTGGCAGGGCTGCCTGTAGAATAGAGGTGAGGATACTCTTGCCAAGAAGAGTTTTCTGGACCCATTGGCATGAGTCCTTACTGGGGATGGCTAGATGCCATTAAAGATACAAGTCGTCTGCTGGAGGTATGTTATTTGTGCATTTATCTATACATCAACATTATGATTCTGATTTGGATGCAGGAAGAGAACATGAGTTATCAGTCTGAGTAACAGTTACATTTTTATAGAAAATGTGTATTATGGCTTTGTATTTCAGCAAATTGTAAACTCTGTTGGCATAAACAAATGTTTCCAAAGTCCAGCTTTGGAGCCTACAAAACTCAGGCCCGCATCTCTATCAGTGGTAAAGTCAACATGTCAAATGTCACGTGTGAGATTTCCTTAGTCATAGGCTGTCAGCTTTCTCTATGTAATATATTCCAGCATTCTGAAACTGCCACATTTAATAAAGCGGAATCATACACTCTTAAATCTGAAAAGAACCTGATGCAACATCTAGTCCAAGACACCCCATTTTCCAGACAAAAAACAACAGCATGGAACTTGGCCCAGAGCCCTTGGTCAGTGATCCTAAGGCCTTACCTGGAATAGAAACATCGAGGGTGCCCATTTTTAAATCACCAGATATCCTGTTGCCTCTGGAGCGTGAATTGTCATACCATGTCACCAAGTGGTATATCTTGGATCTCTTGAGTCCAGGTTATACATACAGAGGCAAAGGAAAGATGAAAGAACCGAACCTAATCCAGTCCTCCATGCATATATACATAGGGGTGAGGCGAGGAAAATAAAGCAGAGAAGGGAATCGAGGGGACCCCTTGTTGAGTTATTGGAGCTTAAGTATGGAAGAGGAAATGTCCAGTTGGTCAGCCCTGTAAAAAACCCTCACCTTCTCCAAGTGCTCACTCAGTGTCTCCTGTGTCCCCCTCTGCTACCACCCACCGAATGGAGGAGGATGATAAGATGAGGAGTCTGCACTGTAGACAAATAGTCTGGACTGTTTCTGCAGGAAAACATGGCAGGGTTCCAGAGTCTGCCTCTGGCCCTTCAGGATAGAAACCACACCTTGTTAACTCTACTTTCACTAAAACAGCCAGGTAGAGGGGAAGATTGAACTCTCCCCACTTGGGAGAGGGTGGCAGGGAAGGAGTTTGCCTGACAGCGGTGGAGAAGGCAGCAAGAACCCACGGGATCCCGGGTTGGCCATCCTGGGGCTGGGGCGCTAAGAAGAGGCTGCCTCCTTGGCCACCTCCTTTCCCACTTCCCATCCGTCTTCTGACATCGCTGCTTCTGTCTTTCCTTAGTTTCTTTCACCTTTTACAGGGAAGGGACTGGGAAGGGCTGTGTGTCATTTACTGCTGTCCCTGAGACAGCCCCCTGCAGACCTCTCCTCCTCTCCGCGTCCTCCGAGTCCCCTCCCCATCTCTCCCCCCACAATGGTCTCTCCCGAGTCCGGGGCGGGGGGCGGGGCGGAGGCGGGGCCGGAGCGTGGTGGCGGTGGGGGGTTTGCTGAGGTCTGCAGTGCCGCTTCCCCGCAACCGCGATCGGTCGCCGCTGCCGCCCCAGCCCCGCTGCTGGACCCCCGCCCTACCCGACCCCCGTACCGGGGAACCCAGGCAGGTGAGACCCTCCTCATCCCTCGCCCCCATCCCGCCCCTGGCAGAAGCATCCTTGTCTTGCAGCCATTTTATCCTCCGATGCTTTGCTTCTGGGGGGCGGCCGACCCCCGCTCTAGGGGTGGTGGTGTAGTGATGGACCTGGACCTGCATCCCGCTGTGCCGCTCCGGAGGTGCGCACGTATGGAGCTGTGCATGCATGTGCTGAGGAGGGGCGTTCTCTCCCTGGCGGATCCCCACTACCCTCTCTGCGGAGGTTAACCTAGTGGGGGGTTGTTGGGTAGGAGGGGGCTCCCTCAAACTCCAGTCCACTCCTCACTTGGACTCCCCCTGCCCCGCCCATGAATGATAAATGACCTTGGCTGGGACCAGAGAATGGATGCTGCCTCAGTCTGCTAGCCTGGACTTGGGAGGGTGGGGGGCCGGGAGGAAGGGCAGGTGAAGGATGGAGGGAAGGGGAATGAAGAATGGGACCACTGAGAGCGCAAGGACCAGGTGTGAGGCCCCGTGGAGGGGCTGGAGGCGTTACTTCTGGTGGTGGGGGTGCCAGTGATGGTGGGCACTTGTCTAGAACCCAGGGTGGGGAGGCCCTGGGAAGAGCCATTCAGTGAATTCTAGGGGCTCATCCCTTAGGGCTGGGGCGGTGGTGAGGTGGCCAAAAATGCTGGTAGGGGCATTCTCCAAGCCCTTGTGTATGGAGGTGTCTCCTTGTGTCCCTGCCTGTCTGCCTCTCTGTGTGACTGCTCCGGGTGCCTTCTCAGCTGACACCTTCCTTCCCCCCCTCAGAACTGTGGATGCTCCCATCTTCCTAGCGGGGACAGGATGTGGGGAGGGAGGCACAGCCGTGTGGGTCCTGGGGTGGGGGCTGAGACCCAATCACCTAGCTGTCATAGGGAGGGGTGTTCTGGTATCTGCCACATCTACTCCTACCCCCACCCCCAGATGTTTTGATAAGTGGTGCTTCTTAATGACCTTGTCACCTGAAGTAGGGTGGGCTGGAGATGGGGTGGCCCCCAGAGCCAGGGGGATTGATGCGGGGTGCCAGTTGTCCTGAAGGGAAGCGGTTGCTCAGGAGATCTCCCATCTGCCCTTTACACCCACTGCAGAAATCTGGGCACGTTTCTTGGTCAGGTGAAGCCAGCCAGCCTTAAAGGGACCCGTAAACATGAACCTTGTCTTCTTTAACCTCCAACCTTTGCAAGTGTTGTCTCTTCTACAGGCTTAGCCACTCTGTGCTGCTTTGGGGGCTAAAAATAGCACCACTTCCTCACCAGCTCAAAGAATTTGTCTTCTTCCTCTCCCTCCTGGGTCTGTTGGCCCCAGGGGAGCTGGCTGGTGAGCCCTCCCGACCCCACACGCACCTCTCAGGGGTAAACAGTGTCAACAAACACAGGGGACGGCTCCTGGTGGATCCCCGGCTTCCCTCAGGGTTGGGGGCAGAGCCTGGTGGGAGAGGAAGGAAGGGGATGCAAACTGCCATGCACTGAGGGGGTTCCACCGTTCCCTTTCTTTCATGGAGGATGGTTGGGCCCTGAACCACCAAGAAAAGAAGGTGACATAGGGGTCACTGCTTCTGGTCACTGTGGTCCACTGCTTACATCTGTCCTGAGGGGGTAAGGCTGTGATTGCCAGTGCTTCTTTCTGAGTCACATAGCATTACTTACCCTCTTGTACTGGGACTAGATTGTGAGTGTGTGTGTGTGTGTGTGTGTGTGTGTGTGTGTGTCACATTTAAAGAAGGCCCTGGATGGGTGGGAGCAGAAGAAGGAGCAGAGTATTTTAAGGAGGACGACCTCGGATCTGAATCTGGCCTGCTTCTCCTGTTTCCTGGGACAGAAAGGGGTGAGCCCATGCCGCCCTTTGGAAGATGTCTTTTTTTTGGTGGGGGGAGGCCCAAGGCCCCCTTCAGTCTCCACCAGCCACCTACGCAATGCGGTATTTGTGGAGTTTTTTTTCCTTGACTCTTGGTGGAGAAGCAGAAAGGATTAGGGGGATTAGGAAGGGAAGAATGAGGTACAACTACAGGCCGCAGACCTCAATGTTAGCAATGTAGGAGTTTGATCAGTCATTTCCTTTCCCACCAATGAAAGGGGCCCCATGTAGGACATTGTGAAGGAAGGCGGCAGCAGCCAGTCATCACTTTTCCCAGCTTTTGATCTTACCTCCTGCCTACTCAGTTCCAAGTCTCCCATGTTTGGATCTTCCCCTGTTTGTCTGAAGGGAGATTCCAGCCCCAGATGCTGGAATTAAACCAAGTCAGAGGGTTCCTGGGAAGGTACTGGGCAACAGTATCTAAGTGTGACCCCTGCTTGTCCCTGGCTGCCTCCTGCTTCTTTGACACTTACCAATACAACAAGGAGGAAGGAAGACTAACATTGATACCTACTATGAGATTAAATTCTTATACTGTCACTGAGAAATAGAGATTCTCCCAATTTTATTATCCCCAATTTCAATATAAGGACACTGAGGCTGAGAGAGGTTAAGCAACCTGCTTAAGAACAGTTACCAAGTGGCAGTGTTTGGGATTTCAACTTAGGTGATCTACCTGTCATGCACTTTGTGCTGAACTAGCATTCCCCTTGATCATGTCTCTTTCTGCTGATGACCCTGAAGAGTATCCAGACATGGCTTTTGTTTTGGGACCTTGTAAGGGAGTACAGGGCATCACACTATGTTACTGTCACCACAATAGTACAAGCTAGTATTTATTTATTACTTTTTATGTGCCTGGTACCATGACAAGGAACTTACATGCATTATGTCAATGAATCCTTACTTTCCCATTTTTACATAAGCGGAAACTGAGGCTTGGGTATTCGAAACATGGCTGACTCACTTAGCTAGTGAACACTGAAGCAGAAAGTCACACCCAGGTTCATCGGACTCTGGAAGCTGAGCTTTTACCCGCTAAGCCATGTTGGGAGAACCCTCTCCTCAGGAGGCCTGTAAACATGGAGCCTGAGGAAAGAACGTGCCCCCCCTTCAGATGCCAAAAGGGCTCTGAGGCAACAGGTTGGAGCCTGGGTCTCCCTCCTGTCCTCCTCAGGCTCCGCCCTCAGCAGGAACCCCAGGCCAGGCTAGAGAAGGGAATTCTGGTTTCTTCCATTTCCTTTTTATCTTTGCAGATTGGGGATGAAATAAGGGCTCTGACTTCATGTGAGGCAGGGTGGAGGAGGGCTCAGGGTGGGTGATGGGAGCGAATCCCATGGGCCTGCCCTCCAAGCTCAAGGATCACAGCCATCTCGACCCGTGTCCTGAGAACATCTCTGCTCCACAGGGTCCAGATGGGGCTCTGGGTGGAGAGGGGCTCTGTGCTGGCCTCTGTCCCACCCTGGGACTCACCGCCTCCTTTCTCTCTCTTCCTTTTCTAGGTCTCCAGAGCTTCCTGGAGGGGAAGCGGTTATCCTGGCCGCCCAGCCCAGCCCCACGAGGCTGCCCCCTCCCTGGCCCTACCCCCTTCCCCACTCACCTGCCTGAACCGAGTGTAGATCAGGGTCTCCCTTCTCCCTCGGGGACACTCCCTGGCCAGGCCCCATTTTCTTTGATTTCAAGCCCAAACATACAGGACCCGACGTCCTCTAAGTAGCGGGCAGGGGCGGGGGGTCTTCTGGACTCGGCCCGTCCTTGAGTGAGGCAGATCCGGGGAGGCGCCCCAAAGCCCCATCATGGAGGAGGGCTTCCGAGACCGGGCAGCGTTCATCCGCGGGGCCAAAGACATCGCCAAGGAGGTCAAGAAGCACGCGGCCAAAAAGGTGGTGAAGGGCCTGGACCGGGTGCAGGACGAATACTCCCGAAGGTCCTACTCCCGCTTCGAGGAGGAGGACGACGACGACGACTACCCGGCCCCCGCCGACGGCTACTACCGCGGGGAAGGGGCGCAGGACGAGGAGGAGGGCGGGGCCTCGAGCGACGCCACCGAGGGCCACGACGAGGACGATGAGATCTACGAAGGCGAATACCAGGGCATCCCCCGGGCCGAGTCGGGGGGCAAAGGAGAGAGGATGGCGGACGGGGCCCCCCTGGCCGGAGTGAGAGGGGACTTGAGTGACGGGGAGGGCCCCCCTTGCCGCGGGGAGGCCCAGCGGCGCAAAGAGCGGGAAGAACTGGCCCAGCAGTACGAAGCCATCCTGCGCGAGTGCGGCCACGGCCGCTTCCAGTGGACACTCTATTTTGTGCTTGGCCTGGCGCTGATGGCTGATGGCGTCGAGGTCTTCGTGGTGGGCTTCGTGCTGCCCAGTGCCGAGAAGGACATGTGCCTGTCGGACTCCAACAAGGGCATGCTGGGTAAGGCACCGCGGGACAGGGACCCTGCTCCTCCCCACTGCATCCTCCCCACTCCTCCCCAGGAGTCCTGCTGCCCAGGAGCACTCAGAGGGCCCGGGCGCCTCCACACACTGCCCCTCACACACACCCTCTTCTTGGGGTTGGGACAGTAAAGTTGTGTGTGACAGAGGGGCTTGGGAAGGCGGCCCGGAGAGGGCTGGGGCCAATGGGTGGCCATGGTAGGAGGGCAACTGCCTCCCCTTTTCCTCTTATCCGTTCTTCTTGTTATCCTGCCCTCAGTCCCTGACTGGAGAACAAGAAGCAGTACTCAGACTCCCTGGTCCAAGTGGGGAGGGTCACTTTGGGGTGGCGGGGTAGGGACTCCCACACCTCTCACTCAGACTTGGGAGTGTCCAGGGCCGTGAGTGGTCTCTGATGGCCTTTCCTGATGGGCACCTCGAAGAGGGAAACCCCTGAGACTGACCAAGAAAGGATCTAGGTCTTGCTGTGCCTTGGACAGGTCTCTTCTCCCTGGGGTTGGGTTTGGGTATGGTTAAAGTGCAAAGTTTGGAATACTTGATTTTTAAGATCAATAATGACTGATTTTATGAAGGAAGCAATAATCTGGGGAGTTTTAGGACCAGAAGTATGGAGACTAGAAGGAATAAAGAATGGGTTTTGTGTGTAGGATTTCCTGGGAAGATTAAAGGGATCAAAGTCCCATTCGCAAGAAACAGGAGAGACCTTCTGATGTTTCAAGGGCATCAAAGCAGGGAGGGTAGGAAGAACCCCCCCCCCACTCACACACCTGGGGGATCTGGGGATACAGGCAGATCCATTCTTTCATCTAGTTGAGCCAGGGTGTGTGTGTGTGTGTGTGTGTGTGAGAGAGAGAGAGAGAGAGAGAGAGAGACAGACAGACAGACAGACAGACAGACGGAAATGAGAGAGAAGAAGAGTAAAGCTCAGGGTTTCCGCATGTTGCAATCCTGCCTTTGAACCACTGGTCTGCGGAGATGACCTTCCCTCTTGGCTCACACAATCCACCTTCTCTCGCACGCTCTGGTCTCTGGGTCGGTTTAGCTTCTAGAAGTTCTTCAGGTCCTGGGTGTGTCCCACTGCAGTTTCAGTCCCCTCGTGCTCAGCGAAGGGTGGAATCGAGGTGTGTCTGCTCACACCCCTCCTGTGTGTTTTTCTCCGGCTCCAGGCCTCATCGTCTACCTGGGCATGATGGTGGGAGCCTTCTTCTGGGGAGGTCTGGCTGACCGGCTGGGTCGGAGGCAGTGTCTGCTCATCTCCCTCTCGGTCAACAGTGTCTTCGCCTTCTTCTCCTCCTTCGTCCAGGGTTACGGCACTTTCCTCTTCTGCCGTCTCCTTTCTGGGGTTGGGTGAGTGTCTGCATCCTGAGGACAGGACTGTGCTGTGGTCACGGTTAAATCCTGAGGCCCGGCAGTGTCAGGCCCATCAGCTAGGTCTTAGGTATGTGTGGATGGAATGAATTCCTCTCCGCCCTGATTGTCTTCAGGCTGGCTCCCCTGTGTGCTGCTGTCCAACGTGCTGTCCCCGTGCCTGGTCCACTCTGGGGTCCTCCATCCCAATCCTAGTTCTCCTTCTGGGCCTCAGTCTCAACCCTGTGTCCTCGTGACCCTGGAGTTATCACATACCTCCTGCATCTGGCCGCAGACCTTGCGGTCATCGACATCTCTAAGAGTCTGCCGCCTGTCCTAGCTCTACTGCACTTCCCCAACCACCCGGAGACCCCACTGCCTTGACTTCAGGCCCCTTCAGGCTTGCTCCCCAACACCTGGCCCCAGACTCCTCAGGGTCCATGTTTTCCTCTGGAGATTCCCCTGGTCTGCAGTTATCTTCCCTCCCTCCCAACTCTGGAGTCACCATCAAGAGTCAAAGTTTGTTCCTTCTCTGACTCTGAGACCCACTTGTCTGTTTCCCACTGCCCCAACAATGTGTGCTTGACGGCTGGTGGTGACAGGGTACTGTGGGGCATTATGTGTGAGATGGAATCGCTGAAAAATTAGGTCTAGAGTGAAAGGAGTTTGGAGGACGGGCAGGGAATAGGGAATCTGGCCACTTTTTAATGCTAAATTCTCAAAATGCTGTCCAGGATTGGAGGGTCCATCCCCATTGTCTTCTCCTATTTTTCGGAGTTCCTGGCCCAGGAGAAACGTGGGGAGCATTTGAGCTGGCTCTGCATGTTTTGGATGATTGGCGGAGTGTACGCGGCTGCCATGGCCTGGGCCATCATTCCCCACTACGGTAGGAGCCCTAGAGGCAGCCCTGGACCCCCCTGTGGTGGGAGGCCCCCCACCCCGGCCTCTGACCTCCCTGCTGATGCATGACCCCGTCTCTGCCAGGATGGAGTTTTCAGATGGGCTCTGCTTACCAGTTTCACAGCTGGAGGGTCTTCGTGCTCGTCTGCGCCTTCCCGTCTGTGTTTGCCATCGGGGCTCTGACCACGCAGCCTGAGAGCCCCCGCTTCTTCCTGGAGGTGAATGGGGCTGTGCTGGGTGAGGGGGGGGGCGGGGGGCAACAAGGGCCCCCTGTTGAAACTCTCACGTGGGATCTGTGTGCTCCGTGTGGCTGTTTTCCTTCCTCAAGGGTCCGCACTCTGGGGACTTATCTTGCTTCCTTTGCCTTGGAATGTCTCTCCAGAGGGATTCTGTGGGTGGAGAAACAGGGACTCGTCCAGCCATGTGTGGCTTCAGATTTTGCAGTCAGGAGCCCTGGCCCTGGCCCTGGCTTTATAGGGCACGTTCCTACCCTTCTTCCCCCTCGGACAACACCTGGGTCCCGCAGGGTCAGGCGCTGCCTTTTCTAACTACACACTTGCTCATTATCTCCCTTGTCTCTCTCCGCGTACCAGGGAGTCCCTAGGATCTGTGCTTGCATTTGTCCCCTACACTCTTGCCCAAGGCTGATTGTGTCTTGCTGGCTCCAGCTGGGGGTGATGCATGCCCAGGGGCTGGAATTTAAGTGCTGTCTGGGGGTGGCAGTCTTTAGATTGGGGCAGGGATCTGCAGCCCTGAGTCAGGGGGCTGACGTGACGCTGGGCTCATGTCTGCCGCTCTAGAACGGGAAGCATGACGAAGCCTGGATGGTGCTGAAGCAGGTCCACGACACCAACATGCGGGCCAAGGGGCACCCGGAGCGGGTCTTCTCAGTAAGCACCCCCAGCAGTCCCCCAAGCCCTCGCAGCCTCCGCCCCTGCTTGGCCCCTTTCTGTCCACTTTCCTAGGCCTCTCCAACCACGTTCTACCTTGGTGACATTCTCAGGTGTCATAGCCGCTCTCTGTCTCCCATTTTGCTACCGCAGGGAAGCTGAGGCATTGGACAGGATTGGGAAATAGAGTGTCTGACTGTTCGTCCCTTCCTTTGACTCCAGGTGACCCACATTAAGACGATTCATCAGGAGGATGAATTGATTGAGATTCAGTCGGACACAGGGACCTGGTACCAGCGCTGGGGGGTCCGGGCCCTGAGCCTGGGGGGGCAGGTAATTGGGGATGGGATGGTGGAGAGGGACAGGGAGGGAGGGCGTGGAGAGGAAGGCGGGGCTTGAGCCTGTGTGAGGGGGTGAACAGGAACTGGAGCGAGGTGGTCGGGAGGAACCACGGGGTCTGTATATGCTGGAAGTTAGTGCAGCCACCTTCTGCTTTTGCTCTGGTAGGTTTGGGGGAATTTTCTCTCTTGTTTCGGCCCAGAATACCGACGTATTACTCTGATGATGATGGGTGTATGGTTCACCATGTCATTCAGGTAAGGAGTGAGTGGGCATGTGCCATGTGTGGTTGTCGTGGTGCATGGACTGGGAGAGAGGTGGGGAAATGGAAACGCAGGGGACAGATCACGAGGGAAGGTGTTGTTCCCATCCCCCTTCGCGCCATCCGATTTCTCTGCTTCATTCATTCATTCAACAAACGTATTGCAGGATGAGCAGAATTAAGTTTCTGTTTTGGGCAGGTACTGTGCTGGACTGAGGTAGATGTGCGCAGTCCTCATGGAGTTGACATTCTGACAGAGCTAGATAGAGCTGTGTGATGGTGGCATTGTGGGAACACTTGGGATGTCGTCGGAGTAGGAATCTAAATCCTAAAGAAGGGATGGGAGGTGGGCTGGTGTTGTGGCTCAGCGGTAGAGCACTCGCCTAGCACCTGTGAGGCCCTGGGTTCAATCCTCAGCACCACATAAAAATAAATAAATGAATAAAATAAAGGTATTGTGTCCAAACGCCTGAGGTGTGTAAGAAGTCCCGTGGGTTGCACACAAGGCCACAGAGCGCCTGAAGCCCGTAATTGGGAAGGGAGGGATGTGAGACGGGGCTGGGGTGAACAGGGTCCTGATAAAGGCCAGCTCTGTTTCTCCCTCAGTCGGCAGGCCTGGCTCTGCTGTCTAATCTGTCCTGATCCCTACCCTTGGTTCCTCAGCTACTACGGTCTGACCGTCTGGTTTCCTGACATGATCCGACATCTTCAGGCCGTGGACTACGCGTCCCGCACCAAAGTGTTCCCGGGGGAGCGCGTAGAGCATGTGACTTTTAACTTCACGCTGGAGAATCAGATCCACCGAGGGGGGCAGTACTTCAATGACAAGTATGTGGGGACCTTGGACTTCCCTCCTCCCCTGTCCCTTCTACCCCTCGTCTCTGATGAATCTGGGAGTTCAAGACAAGGTGGTCTGGGGCACATGCCTAGTTCTCGTTAGTGGGGGCTGCCCATTACCCACTAAGGAAGTCTTGGAGGAAGAGCCGAGGATGGGGTGAGGGGACTGTCTCACTCCCCTGGTCTTGCAGGTTCATTGGGCTGCGTCTGAAGTCGGTGTCCTTTGAGGATTCACTCTTTGAAGAGTGTTACTTTGAGGATGTCACATCCAGCAACACGTTCTTCCGCAACTGCACATTCATCAGCACCGTGTTCTACAACACTGGTAAGGTGGGGCGCTGGTGGGGGCCACCTGGACACAGGACAGTGAACCTTACTCACCAGTGTTCAACCTGAAGCCCTCAGGAGCCCGGGGGGAAGCTGGCCTGGGAGCTTGGTGGCCACTACCAATAATCTGGAAAATCCAATGCCTATTGGACATTTTTCTGTGATAGAATATCTGACAAAGATATCAAGTTCCTTTGCGTTCGGCTGGAGTTATAATAATTCAGTGTATTAAATATATATATTTTTTCAGTACTGGTGCCCTTTACCACATAACCAGTCCTTTTTATTTTTTCCTTTTGAGACAGGCTCTCAGTAAGTTGCTGAGGGTCTTGCTAAATTGCTGAGGCTGGCTTTGAATTTGCAGTCCTCCTACCTCAGCCACCTGAGTTGCTGAGATTACAGGCATGTGCCACAATGCCCACCAGTGTATATAAACACACACACTCACACACACACACACACACACACACACACACACACATATGTTTTTTAGACCAGGGGCGCTTCACCACTGAGCCTCATCCCCAACCCCTTTTAATATTTTATTTAGAGACAGGGTCTGACTAAGTTGCCTAGGGCCTTGCTAAGTTGTTGAGGCTGGCTTTAAATTGGTGATCTTCCTACCTCACTCTCCTGAGCCTCTGGGATTACAGGCGTGTGCCACCGCACCTGGCTACTTTTAAAGAAGGCAAAAATAGTTCAAAACAGGATCCCAGGGGGGAAAAAAAACAATAAAAAGGATATTTGATGTGGAAAAATGTTGGGAATCATTATATTCATGTACTTCTTTAACAGCGATTCTCAAACTGTATGCACATGAAGTGCCGTCCTTGTGAGCTTTGTAGATGGAGGTTTCACACTTCTACACGGAGCATCAGGTGAACTTTTCCCACCTTGCAGAAAGAAAATAGTAGATAGGATTTTTGGTTCTTCAGCTACTATGGTCTGACCGTCTGTTTTTTCCCTAGAAAAAGATTTGTAGACCCAGGTAGTGTGATTGCTCCTGGTCGGCTCAGGTGAACACAAAGAACAGACAAGTAATGGGGACCTCGGAAACAGTCAGTGTTTGGCTATGGTCATTATCTTTCATACCAATTCCTAGTTCCCATGGTGATGTTTTTCACTGCTTTGCAATGAGTGTCTGGACACATTTTGAGAGCCCCCTCCTGCGAAACCCCACAAACCACGGGGCCCTGTGCCAGGAGCAGCGGCCGCCTCTGTGTCCCATGGCGTGACCGCCTGCCTCGTCTTGGCCTTCCTCCGCAGACCTGTTTGAGTACAAGTTTGTGAACAGCCGTCTGGTAAACAGCACATTCCTGCACAACAAGGAGGGGTGCCCGCTGGACGTGACAGGGACAGGAGAAGGTGCCTACATGGTGTACTTCGTCAGCTTCCTGGGGACCCTGGCGGTGCTTCCTGGAAACATCGTGTCTGCCCTGCTCATGGACAAGATCGGCAGGCTCAGGATGCTCGGTAAGGGCAGAGGCGCGTGGTGGCCGTCTAGGTGGGAGCGTGTCGGGGAGTCAGGGGCTGGGGGAGTGTGGTCAGCCTCTCCTCTGGTTCTCTGAAGAGACCGGCCAGAGGACTTCTCTCTCTCACATTTGCTCTCCAGGGGCTGCTGCAGGAATGGGAGGGCCTGACCCAGAAGCTTCTCGGGGATACAGGAGGCAGGCAGAGTAGCAGGACAGATAGGGCCCAGGCTGTGAGGTTAGGAGTAGGAGTCTCAGCTGCACTGCCACCTAGGCAGGTGGCCTCGGGAGCCTGGCTGTCTGGTGCCACTGGGGAGTGACACCTGACCTGCCTCCCGGTGTTGATGTATTAGACTGATGCATGTCAACCAGCGTCAGGCAGCTTGGCCCACAGTCGGCAGAACCACGAGGGCTAGTGATGCTGTTGATAAACAGATAATGACAGGGACGCTGGGGACCGGTGAGAAGCCCTCCTTTGGCTGCCTTGGGAAAAGAGTCTCGTGCTGGGTGGCCTCGGAGCTGCCGATGGCACTGACCGATGGCACTGCGGCCAGCTCATTCGCTTTCTCCTCTGGCTCCAGCTGGCTCCAGTGTGATGTCCTGTGTCTCCTGCTTCTTCCTGTCTTTTGGGAACAGCGAGTCGGCCATGATTGCTCTGCTCTGCCTCTTTGGGGGGGTCAGCATTGCATCCTGGAACGCGCTGGACGTGTTGACCGTTGAACTCTACCCTTCGGACAAGAGGTAGCTGGAGTGTGGTGGGGGCAGGGCAGTCGGCTGAGGGCCCAGGGGGCAGGTGAGAAGTGGTGTGAAGAAGAGGGCAGACGAGGAAGAGCACCTTGAGGGGTGGGAGGATACATTCCCGTGGAATTCCTCTTCTAAGGGCTGGTAGCTTTTGGCCAGGGGTGGTGGCTCATGCCTGTAATCTCAGTGACTTGGGAGGCTGAGGCAGGAGGATCACAAGTTTGAGGCCAACCTCAGAAGCTAAGCAAGGCCCTAAGCAATTTATTGAGACCCTGACTCAAAATAAAAAATCAAAAAGGACTGGGAACGTGGCTCAGTGGTAAAGTACTTCTGGGTTTAACCTCCAGTACCAAAAAACCAACCAACCAACAAAAAAACCCAGCTGGTAGCTTTTGTATCTGCTCCTGGTGGTCTTGAATGTTAACCTCGTTTTTTGATCTCTTTCCCTCCTTGTCCCTCCCTCTCCTGCCTCACCGTCCTTCCTTCTCCCTCTTGGGCACTGCCTCCATCTTCCTCCACTTCATCTCTCTGCCGCCCGCTCTTCCCTGCCTCACTGCGGGGCCCTGCCCTCCGTGGCACTGGGACTCCTGGGCAGGACCACGGCCTTTGGCTTCCTGAATGCCCTGTGCAAGCTGGCCGCCGTGCTGGGGATCAGCATCTTCACCTCCTTTGTGGGGATCACCAAGGCCGCCCCCATCCTCTTCGCCTCGGCCGCCCTCGCCCTCGGCAGCTCTCTGGCCCTGAAGCTGCCCGAGACCCGGGGGCAGGTACTGCAGTGAGGGGTCTCTGGGGCTTTGGGGGTGGCAGGGACACTGTGAGACCCACAACTCCCTTCTTTCTCCTCCCTGACCTGCCATCCTGGACCCCGGAACCTTGCTCCCGGTTCCCTGTGTGTCTTGGCTGTGCGTGCGTGTGCATGTGTGTGACCCCGTGGGCAGGGACTGCAGGGAAGGCTCTTGGCCCAGTTTGGGGGTGAAGCACTACTCCTCACCTACACCCTTGACTTGGCACAAGAGAAGGCTGAGCCCCCCTCCCCTCCCCATTGTGAGTGAGGGGCCCCTGCTTCCCTGCCCCTCCCCTCGTCCCTCAGCCTAGGCCCTTGTGAAGTCACGGGGATGCAGTGATCTCGGGGCTGAGGCTGGGGTGTAGATCATGGACCAAAAGAACCTGGGGTCCGAGGGCCGAGTGTGCCCTCTCACACCTCCCAACGGATGCTGGGGAGAAGCAATAAACCTCAGCCCTCTGGCCTCCACTTTCCCTCAGTTTGGGCTGTGAACCCGAAGCCTGAATTTTATGGAATTACTTTCTGATTCTTATTTATTTATATATTAAGTTCTGAGGCAGCTTAGACTGTGTGTGAATATGTGTGTACACTTGTGTGTGTGTGTGTGTATGTGCCAAGGGGGGGGGCGTCACTCTACTGTCCTAAAATATAAGCTAAGGGTCATTCCAACGACACACACACAACCCTGCCTCCCGCAGTGCTCCCTCATCTTGTCTCTGTGGGGCCTGGGAGGGAGGAACCTGGGCCGTGGGGATGAGTCTGCATTCTAGGGGGGCCTGAGGGCACCTGGGGAGGCCGTCGCTGCCCGTCCCCTCAAGCCTGGCCTCTCCTGGAGGAGGAGGAGCACAGTGCCCCCCCTCCATCCCCAGCGGGTCCCCTCACTGGCAGGGGGCCGGGAGGAAGGGAAGACAGGCCCGTGGTCCAGCAGACCCCAAAGCACAAGGCGCTGGGGCCGGGGCAGGAAGCGTGGCCCTCCTGGCCTCTTCTCTGGAAGTGGGGGAGGCTCAGCGGCAAGTGAGGGGCCCTAATGCGGGGACCAGAAGCCTCAGTTTCCCCTTCCCACCCTCCACACAATCGCCTCTGTAGGTTAGGCTGCCCTGTCCACCCTGATACGTGCGGCTGCTTTCTTTGGTGCCCTCTTCCCACCCCACCGTAGCTGTGATGTGTCGTAGTTTTTAGCTGTTTGTAAAATGTTTAAAAAAAGTTAAAAGGAAAAAGTGAAAATAACAACAGGAAAATCCAGATTCACCCTCCTCATGCTGCGTCTGGTGCCCTCACCCTATGGTCACTCTCCTATTTTGTGACACCGACCAGGTGGTGACTGTTTGGTGTCTGTGCCCAAAGGATTGCCTTCTCCTCCAGTGCCCAGTGTACGAGTGTGTGCCCCCCTTCCCTCACCCCTCACTTGCTGGACGTAGCCCCCTCCCGTACCCTCCAGGAGACCCATCCATCTTCCTCGCTCTCCTGGGGAACCCTAAACCCATCTCTGTTGATGTGAAAAATGAACAATACTGGTGAAAAATAAAAGGAAATCAATCCTCAAAATCCAAAATGGCTGTGTCGACGTCTTTGCCTCTGCCTACATCTAAGTCCATTCTGAGAGTCCTGGAAGGGTAAATGGTGGTGGAAGAACAATCTCCACCTCCCATCTGGAGGCCAGGATAACCAGATGTATCATACTCCCCATCTCGACCTTTCCACCCTGACCTTTCCACCTTGGAAAGCCCCGTCAACTCTCCTGGGTTTGAAAACAAGGAATGATTCCTCCAAACCTTCTGGTGTGCCTTTGAAAATAGATTCCAGACTCTATTCTTGACTTGTGGGATCGACCCCCCCCCCTTTTTTTTTGGTGGCAGGGAAGGCCTCAAATTTACATTTTGAACAAGATTCCTTAAGAATCCTTCCCTGTGAAGAAATCTGAAATGCACTACTTGTAACTGATCTCAAACTCCCCTCTCTCTAGTCCACTGCCTTTCTCATCAAACCATTCTCTGATTTTATAGTCCCTCTGGGGTCAACGACTTCATTTTCCATCCCCACAGGTGCCCTCCAAGTCAAGGTCCCACCTCCACTCCTGATCCATCTCTGCCTCCAATTTCCATGCCAACCCCCACAGATGTCACTGCTAGATCAGTCGCGTTTCCAAATGCTCTTTGGCATGCCCATACTCAAAATTCTTCAATGACTCCCTACTGCCCAACAAGATGCAGTCTAAAAATTTTTTAAAAAATTTTTTAATATTTATTTTTTCGTTAGAGGTGAACACAGTATTTTTTAAATTATTATTTTTTAAGGTGGTGCTGAAGATCAAACCCAGTGCCCCACGCATGCTAGGCAAGTGCTCTGCCACAACCCCAGTCCCAGCCTAAAAATTCTTTAGCCAGAAATTATCAAGCTACATGTTAACCACACTTTTTCTCTAATAATTTACACACTGAGATTATAAGAAAGCTGCTTATGTAGATATTACTTGAGCTCCCCTCAGAAATATGATGTAATGTTGGTAAGGCTCATATACAAAAGGGCTACATAAAAGGTTTCTGTCTTCTGTAATTATTCTCTAGTTGCCCCCACGCCCCACTTGAGTGGTTTTTTAAAAGTTTTTTTTTTTTTTTCCTTATAAGCAAACACTTTTTGGAAACTGACAGGCTGTTAAAAAGCCAAACGTTACACCCATATGAAATTCAAATGTGTTCCTGCCCATCACGGCTGCCTTGACTAATATCTGCTCAGTCCAACCTCTAACCCTTTGCTGAGGTTCTTTCCCCTGCTTGAAACACCTTTCCTCTCTTTTCTGGTTTAATTCCACCTTTCCTTAGAGATCAAACTAGTTCACTTTCCCCATGAATCCCTTTTTGACTTCCTAGTCTACAAATATTTTTTTTCTCAAGAACTAGGTGCAAGCAGCACAGGCCTGTCATCCCAGCGACTCTGGAAGGGGAGGCTGAGGCAGAGGCAGAGGACCACAAGTTCAAAGCCATCCTCGGCCACTTAGCAACATCCTGGCTCAGTGGTCAGAAACCTCGCCAGTACCAAACAAAACACCCAACTGTGGCACCAATTCAATAGCCACTAAGAACACAGCGATGCAGTCGTATGGTAATAGCTTTTTAATGCACAGGGCAGTTTCCACCCCTCAGGACTGGTGTAGTTCCTTGCCGCAAGTCAACACTAGCAGCAACAGCTAGGCGGTCCTTCCTTAGCACACAGGGAGCGCAGTGGTGAGTGGCCGCCCTTCCTGGGCTAACTGGGGTGACCTCGGCTTCTCTCTTTGGAAATGCGAGTGTGCCAACGGGATGGGACACCCCTAAAGATCGCGGCAAGGCGGCCGTGGTTCACTAGCTGACCCCCATCCGCCCGTTCGGATGCCGTCCTCCCCCTTAGCTGGTGTCAGGGAGTGTTCTTGCTCTTCTTGCTCCCACCCAGGCAGGGGGGGCTTGT